TGTGTATAATATTACCACAGTGAATATTCCATGAAATCATTCATATGTGTATACAATTTTTTCAATTTTATTCACAACTAAAGTAAAGAGAGAGAGAAGGAGAGAGAGAGAGACAGACAGAGAGAGAGAGAGAGAGAGAGAGAGAGAGAGAGAGAGAGAGAGAGAGAGAGAGAGAGAGAGAGAGNCCTGCAAACTTCTTTTATTCTTGGAAAAATCACCTGCAAAATCACCTGCACTTGATTTGACGATTCCATCCACTGAGAATTTAACCTGTCTGTTTTTTTTTTTTTTATAAATGTCCAAGTATTTCAAGTCGTTATCACGTATTTAGATCCACATAAGCACGTATCTCACGGTTGCCCCGCCACGGTATCCACTCCAAGCTTGGGTCTCCCTCTGTCATCTCTCTCTCTCTCTCTCTCCTCTCTCTCTCTCTCACGCGATCGCCACCCGCACGCACGTTCACACACACGGCCGCGACTGTTGCCACTGACTCCACGCGCGCCTCCAAATGCCATGGAGCCAATTGTCTCTGCCGCCATTACCGCCCCTGACGATCCGGGTCTTTGAGCGAAGAGTCTCGGTGTCGCGCCTCTTGCTCTCCGGGGCCCCGAGACTCCGAGACGAGACCTGTGTCTCACGTCTGCTCTATTCTATCTTCTTATCCTTTTTACTAGAAGCTCTTAAGGCATTGAGGCGATCCATAAGCCTATAAATGCGACTCTGGTGGAAATATATCGATCGCAAACGCTGTAAATATCCCAAGAAACGGCATGAAATCCTTTGGGAAGAGACGAGAGAGAAAGAAAACGGGAAAGTCTCGTGGGCACGGCGGCTGCGATGGCTTGGCCTGACCCGACCTTCACCGGCACCTTTTGTCTCCTCGCACGGATCTTCCTGTCAATTAAGTCATGTCAAAAAGTCACACATATCGGGAAAGTGAAGTGAGAGTGTGGTGATCGACGCATGAGATCTTCACCCTTTAGATTATCTTGGCAAAACTATTTTTTTTTTTTTTTTTTGCGTTCGTTTCGCAGCATCTAACTCCTTCGCGTTTTGGAAACCACGTGATTTTTCCTTTTTTCTTTTCTAATGCGACAGGAAGGTTGAAACAGAACCGTGTGTCTTCATGAATTTATCTTTCTTGCTGTGGTTGTCCTTCATCACTTGGCATCTGGGAATATGAATCAGAATCTCTACATTTTTTTTATTTATTGCACGATTTTTATTACTCAACCTATCCCCTACCCCCCACACCCACCCCTTCCTATCACCCCTCCTTCTCTCTAAAGAAAAATAAACTATTAGACCCTCTTTACACATTCATACAATCAAACACAAAAGCCAACTACAAGAAATAAAAGCAGTGGCGAACGTTCTTCGTAAACATTGGCAGTTTAGGATTCTTCTTCTTCTTAAACATTCTTCGTAAACATTGGCAGTTTAGGATTCTTCTTCTTCTTAAACATTCTTAAACGTTCTTCGTAAACATTGACAGATAGTGTGCTTACTTGTCTAATGAAGATGCAAGTCGCACAAAAGCTCCTCTGTTGTATGAAGCCATCAGTAATGCATCGTTAAAACCATGTTGACGTCTATCGCCTGACGTGTGATCTGATGTGTGTATCGTGCGTGTGCGACTACGAGCAATATTTGTGTATGTGAAGGAGTATTGAGATTGTGAATATACGATATCCTTTTGCATTTCAGAGAAGTAAGATTCACAATTCCTCTTTTTTTGTTATTGTTTTTAAATTTATGCTTTCGTCTGTTTTTTTTTTATCCATCTCCGTGATTTGAAAATTTTGTTTACTAATTAAAGTTGAACCTCATTCGCTGTGCATAATTGCCTGCGAGTTTGCTCACTCTTTTTCTGGACAAGCAGAGTTGATGACCTTTTATGACCTGAGTTGCGTTACCCGCTCGAAGTATGTGTTAGGAGGTCTTCGATTTCTGCTTGTTGATCCTGACCAAATGGGGAGCTGAGAGAGCGTCTTTGCTGACAGAGGAAGTCTCGGATGGCATCTCACTGACTCCTGACGGTTTACGCTTTTGTTTTTGTTCATAAGGAAACAGAAATCAGTGAATTACACAGGCAATTCCCCTTTTCTCTGACGCCATGTGTGGAGAAAGCTCCTTGTGCAATCTTTTTCTCGGTTGACTTTGCGCCTGACTCGCTCATTGCCAGCGTCTCTCGAGCAATAAAGCCACGATGGTCCAAGTTCCATTTCTTCTGATGCAGTGACCTCTCTGCACGCGCGTACACACATGTTGCAAAGAAACACACGTGACGCACGCACACGTATGTACGTTCGGGGCCACATAAACACAGGTTCATCGATGAAGCCAAACATACACATTTAATTATTTTCTCTGTCCAGCTTCTATTTTTTCTCCCGCATATGATTCATCTGATACTGATATAATATTTACATTTTAATCAAGGACAGTGACCATGAATTGAATTGTTTT